GGATCGGCTTTGTCTAAAACCTGCTTGTTCTTCTACAAGGATATAGTTTTCCTGTACCCAGATTTCAATTCTATTTAAAAGGTACCTAAGCATATATTTTTGCTACAGTGTCAATCACTGATGGGCCTATAATTACTATAATTCTTTTTATTACTATAATTCTTTTAATTATTACTATAATTCTTTTTATTTCCTTTTGTATATATGGAGACAACTATTGCCAACTTCCATCCATCTGGAATATGTCAGGTGTTATTTATATGTGTAAAAAGAGCTGCCAGTACGGGACCCCACAAATCGGAAAATTTCTTAAAATAATTCTGCTGGTAAAAATCCTCACCTGGGGCTTTATTGCTCTTTAAGCTTTTAATGATGAATTGTATCTCCTTTTCTGAGACTGGTGGCCAAGGGGGAGAAGTTCTTGGGTTGACTAAACCACTGCTTAAAGACAGTTTCTACAGGAAGCAAACAAACACTGATAATTCTCCCAGTCCTCAGCAGAGATTGGTATATCAAATGCAAACCTCCATTCCTTTAGGACATCTGCTACACAGTGCCAAAATATTACTGAGTTATGACTTTTGGCAGCCAACTCGAGTTCTGACCAGATTGAAATGGCAAAACTTTAGCTAGTAGAGAGGAAAGTGCCCTAAATAAATATTTCTTCTTCCCAGAATATTATGAAAAATCTTGATTTAAATAGTGCTGAGCTCAGACCCTCCGTTTAATGACCATTTCTCCAGATTCTTAAGGAAACCTACAATAGTTACAAGGATTAAAAAAAATGCATTATTAGTTTCAGGTACAGGTAGTCCTTAACTTATAGCTGTTTGTTTAACAACTGTTTGAAATTCAAGCAGCACTGCACAAAGTGACTTATAACTGGTCCTTGGACTTACGACCACCATAGCATCCCCACATCATGTGATCAAGATTCAGGTTTTTGGCCACCAGCATGTATTTATGGTGGTTGCAGTATCCCAGGGTTAGGGTTAGGGTTAGTGGCTTTGATCTTAGAACGTAATTGCCTTCTTGACTTTTTTAACCCTCTTGTGGTTACCTGCAGACTTTATAACATTTCGATAGAAGACACCAAAACACTAAGGTTTTAGTCTAAGCTGGGAAGTCAAAAACATCCTGCTGGAATGCAGTGGTAAACCATTTCTGTATTTCTGCACTGAAAGATTATTATATGAAAAAGAAGGAAATTAAATGGGCATGCCCCCATGAAGTTTCCAGAGCCTAAGCTCAATGCGAAGGAGACTTTTATTTTTAGAAACCATATAAACATGAAACATTAATTGGCATGTTGTCATGAGCTTAATTCATTGTATCTGGTCTTTCACTAGAAGAAAATCATGCCACGTTACTTGGCAGTGAAATCCTGGGAATTTCTGGGACATGCAGAAATCAGCGGTATTCAATACTGACATTCAATAGAGCTGTGAATTATCCAGCCTGAAATAAATCTATTATTCACTCCCACAATAAAAACTAAAAAGCAGACATGAAACCAGCATGAAGTGTGCACTGAATGACTGCTTAGAAGAGAGAAAGAAAAAGAGAGAGAAACGATCCTTCTAACTTGGGGAATTATTTCGTAATTTATTTCAACATTGATATGTCATGCTCTGGGTGGCTTATAAATGTTTCTTTACAATAAAATACAATCTAACAAAACAGTAAAAAGCAGCATTTCTTTTTAAAAAAAGATTACATCTTTTCATCCCTGCCCCCTTAAACTTCAGCAGGATGGAGCCCAACTTCTACTCCAGTGCAACTTGCTTCATAGTTTAGGATATGCCAAGAGAAAAGTGAAGTGGAGATTAGAAATATTTTCAGCAGCCATTGAAAAAAAACACCATCTCCTGTTGAAGATTTAAGAGCCCCAGAAGGATTTCACTAAAATAGGGGGTTGATCAAGTGACCTATACCAAAGTTAGGTATTATTTACCCTGTACAAAAGTCTAAAATTTTCCATCAGCATGAACCCAAAGAAATAAGGAAAACCTTTGTTTAACTTTCTGCTCTTCAGATGCTTACAGAATTGATGTATATAAAAACCTGGAAATACTATTTTAGATCAGGTGATAAGCCTCTATAAGTGGCTACAGATGTTCAGTTTCTGCCTTAGCCAGAAAATATTTTAACAAAGAACGTTGTGCTACATTTTTATCCAAAAGTTTTTTTTTTCATCAGGTGTAGTGGATTAAGAAGATATAGGACAGGAGAAGCACTTGAGATACATTTCTTCAATCCTTAAAGACAGAAAAGACATGAAGACTTATTAAAGTGAAATTAAGGTGAAAAACAGCAGCATTACTTATAAAAGACAAGAATTGGGACTACGTAAGACTGTTTAGAATTCATTTTCCAAATTAGAAATTCTGCTCTACTAGTTCCAAATCACAAGTTAAATCACTTTAGACCCCAGATATGATAGTTTTATGCCTTTCATAAATTTATGCCCATCTTTCATGTATTTTACTTCAATCATGAAATTTCTTGTCTTGTTCTACCATTTTATGCGTTACAATGTCTTTTGCATCCCTGTATATTTTATATTCAAAACAAAGCAAATCCTGTTTTTCATTTCTGCTGAAATATAATTAGCACAGATGCAGGTTCACATTTAGCTCATTTAAAATAGCATCATTACAGCCAAAGGTTAGTATGGAAACCATTTCTGCTGTTACATTATATTGAGTTCACAATAAGCCATTTAGTTGCGGGGAAAGGAATTACATGTACAAATTATGTCATTTATTTATATAATTGGTATACCACATTGTAATACATTTTAAAAATAAAAATAATATTAAATATGTAACTATGTGTCTGCAATCCCAAACTGTCTTATCTCTATTTCTGTCTCTGTCTCCGTCTCTCTTTCCTCCACCACCCTCTCTCTTTCTTATCTATCTATCTAACTATCTATCTATCTATCTATCTACTTACCTACCTACCTACCGTCTGTCTGTCTCTCTCTCTCTCTCATTTATCTCCTAATTTTAAGAAAAGAAAGGTTACTGCAGTGAACAAATGCTTTTAATGGGTAAATACATAATTTGGGCAATGTATGCTTGATCTTAGCACTTTAAAATTCATGCATATTATATTAGCTAATCTAGAAAATTATTTAATCAGTGAAAAAAATGGAGATAAACATTTTTAAATTTGCTCAAAAATTTCAGACTTACTCTCATCTTAAATGACAAGACATTGTATTTTTACACAGATGTAAGTCCTATATAAATTAAGTAGGAATTTTTTTTCCCAAGCGAGGTAGGATTAGAATTTGAAGTTAATGTATTATTACTGAAAATAACAAAAGTGGAATTTTTATTTTGGGGCACATTCAATATAATTGAAATAATTTGAAATATAATTTCAAAATAATTTGAAATATAATTTCAAGTTCAATATAATTTGTTGGAGGCTGAAGGTGTAGAGACTTACTTGTTCTTATCCAAAGAACAAGAACTTAGCAGAGCATTTCAGATGAAATGTTCAATTTTAGTTTCTTTCCCTGATTAATATTCTCCGCATTCTAAAGTGTCATTGTGGACAATAAACAGTCCAGACGTCCTAATGAGAAAGACAGTTGTGACACTCATAAGGAAATTAATTATGATAATAAAGAGGAAGTTGATATTGTATTAAAGCACTATTGCCAAAAGACATAATCATTACAACAAATATTCATTATGTTGAATTTGTTAGAGCAGCCCAAAACTTTAATTTTGAGAAATTCAAATTTTGGCAAGGATCTTTTTTTTTTCCTATTTGTAACTGAGAAAAAAATTAGGCTCAGAAATCTGTATGTCAATGTGTGATATAAAATCATGAAAAATATTATCAGACATGGAACATAATTTAATGACACAATATTATTGTTAAAATATTTTTCTATGTGTATTCAAATAGGTTCAGTATTACTATTTTCTAATCGTAATTACACAATGATTAAAAATCATGTTTATATTGCACATACACTTTAGGAGACTGTTAAGCATATTTCTAGGTAAATTTCTAGATGGTGTTATTGACAGATTGCCTACTACTTCCATAAACCAGAGTATATTCTCTGAATTCATTTTAGAAATCACTTTACTTTACTTTATTTTATTTTATTTTATTTTATTATTGATGGAAGAATTTTTAAAATAAAATTTCCAGCATCTTTGTGTGGTGAACTATGTTAGCTTATGATCCCCTTTTCAATTAAAAGATCCCCATTATTTTGCAATCTGTGATCTACTTGTGGGCCTGAAAAAGAAGAAACTCAAGGCAACTTAGGAATTAAATGGTTTTCAATTGAACTGGACAGTTTTTTACATATGGTTGGGATGCAAATGCTACAGTTGAACAGTAATTAAGCACCCTGTTTTTATTGTGAAATTAACTTTTTATTTCTTGTAACCTGATCATCCCCGCAACTCCCCTTTCAACATGATTTTGATGGAGTTGGATCTTTTCTGATCCAAAGACACTGGAGGGAGGACTAGTCAGTTGAAATGGATCTCCACAATGAAGGCAGAGAAGAAATTTACCGAGCAGCGTAGATGAAAAGAGGCCAAATCTTCTCTTTCTGGTTACCTGCTACTCAGCAAGAGTTATTTCTCCAGGGGGAAAATCACTAAGTTGATTTGGAGAATGTCTGGAATAAGGGAGGAAAACCTGCCATAGATGCCAATTGTTAATGTCACAATTAATATGGTTTATCCATTCTGCACATTACGAAGAATTGGTACCAAAGAATTGTTCTAATCTACTTGAGAATTAGCATTTCTATTGATCACCCCTAATGCATGACCTGGGCATGCTAGCTGGGCGGTTCTCTTGACTTCCAGATGCATCGCAGGGATGATCAGGTTATGATCTAAAATATCTGAAAAATTATTCTAGTAGTTATAAGTCAGGACTCTCTGCGCTCATACCAGCTACAAGCAAGATTCATCTTGGCTTTCCTGTAGTGTCCCTCTTTGTTTACCTGTATCTCAGGTGCCTGTAGCCCTTTCCCTCTGAGACCCATTTCTGCTCTGGAGGCATGGCAGGAAGCCCCAGGAAGCCCCTCGTTGGTGACTGCGTAGGTATTCACGGTAGTTGCGTGTGAGCAGAGTGTAGAGAAAAGGGTTGATGCAGCTGTTCCCATAGGTCAAGCAGGTCACCAGATGATTGACAGAGATCTCTGTGTGGATGGGCAGGTGGGCTGCTGATGGGCAATAAAGGGGAAGGAGTTGCCAGATCCAAAAGGGCAAATAACAGGCCCAAAATGCCAAGACAATCACAAGGATGAGAAGGAAGACCCGGTTCTTAGGGGAACGTCCCAAGCCTCCACGGGTCTGTGACAGCCAGTAGCTTCTTGCTAAGCGCCAGTAGAGTGACCCAATGACTATCCCAGGGGCCACTATGCTTGTGCCAAAAAGGATGCTCAGATATACCCTGTATTGCTTCTCACTCCAGGTGGGGGAGCAGAGACGACGCACCCCAGCTCCATTCCCCATTGTACGTTCCTCCTGGTGGATCATGACCATCATGGGGAGGGCCAGAGCAAAGGACAGGAGCCAAACAGCAATGGCCAGAGTTCGACTGCATCGCCGCGCACGGCTGGCAGCCTGGAATGGGTACACCACAGCAGTGTAGCGCTCACAGCTCATTAGAGTCAGCAAGAAGATGCTGGCATGCATAGTGAGCAGATCTAGGCTGAGCAGGATCCGGCAGCCAGCCTCCCCAAAGGGCCAGTCCTTCACCAGCCCATTGTGAACAATGAAAGGGGCCGTCAAGAGATACAAAAGGTCAGCCAAAGCTAAGTTAATTAGGTGGACATGCAGAGAGGAGGCCGAGGCTGAGGCCCGCACCACTGCCAGAGCATAGAGGTTGCCAGCCACACCGGTAACACACATCAGGCTCAAGGCAACTCCCAGGACTGCCGCTGATTCACCTCCTTCTGATGAGGATCCATTGCCTAGCAGTAGCCATGAAGAAGAGTTTGTTGATGATGTCATCACGAAGAAATGATCCAAGGTAAGCTGTTTAGAAGAATTTTTTAACATTCTAGTCCTTGGGAGAGAAATCAAGGAAAGTGTACCATCAATCTCTATTTCTCCTTATCAATTAAGTTGAATATCAAAGTCAATATCATACCACCTCTTTCCCTGCTTTTTGGTCTACTGCTCCATCTATAAGTCTATCTGTTTTCCTTTTGATCCTTCCCATTTCTTTTTTTGCTCCATCCTATTGCTGAATTTTAAAAATTGGTTTCAGTTTGTAAAGGATACTTTTGGAGGGAGTCACTTTCCCACCATCTCTCTTGTATCTGAGGTATATGGTCACTACTTTGGATCTAGACATGGAGAAGCTTTTTTCTTCTGGTCCTCATTCCTTTCTTCCTTTCCTCTACCTTCACAATGCCGGTGATGGCGCAAGGTCTCTGTGTGAAGAGGATCTGTGCGTATCTGTCTGGGTTTGCAAATTCTCTTCTCTCGCATTCTTCGCACCCTGCTAATATTGGTATGTTGGGGTCGAACCTTGGTGCAGCTCCTGTCTATTCTGAGGAGCCTGTTTATTTCAACCCTGAGGTGGGATTTTGACAGCACGTCACCAACAGGGGCTAAGGGGCGGGTGCTGGGATGACATTTAGGGGTCTGATTGGTCTGGAGATGGTAACAGACAGAATTTTCCCCACCTCCTCCACCCCAAACAGACATAAACTCAGGGTCCAACTCCCTGCTGGCATAACTATACAACTTTCCATGGAATGATGCCAACAAGGAGAAAGAAAAAATAACCAAGAGATAGAAAGACAGAAGGGGACTGTATTGATCAATGGACAAAAGGAATTCACAGAAACAGACATGGAAAGACAGATCTTAGATGAAAAGGAATGAAATGAAAATGAACCATGACTTTTCATCTATCCATCTGTTTCCTACACTAAAATAAGGTGACAGACAGCCCTTCCATGTCCTTGCTGTTGATTTTGTTTTCATGTCTATTCCTTTTAATTACTTTCCCGCCATTAAATCATTTACATGTCAGATTTTAGTATTCCTCAAACTATGCTACTTTTAGTAAAACTGTCCCAAACAAATCAACCATATTTATTTACAAACTGCCCAGCCATTTAAGCTTGGGTGTTGTGTAAACCCAGCCACACTGGGTAACGTTTACAACAGTATACAATTTTTGTGATATGGTAAAAACAATACACAATTTTTGTGATATGGTAAAAACAATACACAATTTTTGTGATATGGGTTGCACATTCACTATTCAATAAGTTAAATAATGAACAGAGGACTAAACATATTTTATATTACTTTTTGTGAACTGTCCTAAAATACAACTCTCAAGGAACAAGATAATGCATTAAACATTATTTGTTACTACAACATTTTCATTAATGGTTTGGATCAAGTTGGTAGAAGCTTTTTTCTTCTGATCCTCATTCCTTTCTTCCTGATATTTTAATCAGATTTGCACATTATACAAAATGAGGTGACACGGTCTCAAAGATGGGCACCTATATTTAAAGGGATTTTGACTGGAAATAGCAAATGAAATTTAATTGCAAAGGAAGTAGTTCTTCATTAGCAAAAAGAAATCAAACACAGAGATAAAGCATATGAGACATTTGACTTGGAAACCATATATATATAAAAATTGTGAAATATAGCTGTTCAAAATATGATAGGGTGACAGGGTTCCCAGAAAGTAAAACAGATTTTAGGCAGTATCAATCGAAGTATAGTTGTAAACTGTCTTGAATGCCCTATAAAAAGAAAGGAGAAGATATTAATTCAAAACAAATAAATACATGCATAATATATACATTTCCAAATTTTGGAAGGTAATTATGAAAGTAATAATTATTCTTTATTGGTTAGATTTGCTTCAAGACCTCTACATTTTGATTGGGGCCTCTCATTTAAAAAAAGATTTAATGAAACTAAAACTGGTGTAAAAAGGGGACGGGAGGATGGATAATAAGACTTAAGGAAATATTGAAAGAACTGGATTTGTTTAGCCTTGGGAAAATATGGTTTGGGCTGTAGGTGGTACAATTATCATAATCCTTTTCAAGCATCCAAAAGGATGCCCTGTAGAAGATCGAAAACAGGGGTCTGTTGTCCTCAATTGAAGGATGATCATTCAATTCCAGGGAAACAAATTCTGGTTGAATGTTGGGGAGGGGACTCCTAAAAGGAACAACTGTTTGTCAACAGTACAATTTATGAGTTAGTGAGTAAATTAATTTTCACCGGGGGAATTCAGAATCAGAGGCTGGACAATCTCAAGAAATATAGATAGTCCTCAACTTACAACCATTCATTTAGTGATCTGTCAAAGTTACAAGGGCATGAAAAAAGTAACTTATGGTCAATTTTCACACTTACGACCATTGCAGCATCCCCATGGTCATGTAATCAAAATTTGGGTGCTTGGCAATTAGCATTTATTTATGACAGTTGCACTGTCCCAGGGCCATTTGACCACATTTGTAATCTTTCCAGCCGGCTTCCAACAAGCCAATTCAATGGGGCAAGCCTGACTCACTTAAGGAACTCAAGATTAACTTAACAACTGCAGTGATTCACTTAACAACCAGTAAAAACATTTGTTAAAAAATGGGGCAAAACTCACTTAACAACTGCCTTTCTTAGTAACTGAAATTTTTGACTCCATTGTGGTTGTAAGTTGAGGTATTATAATTTGGATTCCTGCACTGAGCAGAGAATTGATCTTAAATTGTTCCTTCCATTTCTAGGAGTTATTTTCCGCAGCTCTACAGAAGCAGAAGTTACATTTACTTTATGCCTATAGCAAATACATTATCGGACAAAGCAGTGCTTGTAAGAGAGGACAGTTTCTTGGCTGTGAGTGAAGCCCTGTGCAGATGTGAAATGTTTGTGGCAGTCTGTTTTCAGTTTGATGTCTCCCAGAATTTCACGTGCATATTATTCCTGTTGGGTGTTTGAATACTTATGTGCTTTACCATTCGTGTGTTTTGTTGGTGTGGGTGGGTATGAACTTGCTATTCAGAGGAAAGCGTCTAGGAACCAAGTAAACAAATAAAATTTTTTATTTATAACACAGTCCCCATGAGGGCACACTCCAAACACAATTTTGAAAAATTAATAAAAAAACAAAATAGAAATTAAAAATTATAGAAAGGGAATAAAATCAAGTGGAATATATTGACTACTGGAGTGAAAATAATGTAATACAATTAAAAGATTCTAAACCTATCTTCTGTCTGGCTTTACTAATAAGATTTACAACAAAACAGACCTATCACTATTCTTAGTCTTCTGTTCATAGTCACTTCCATCAGTTTATCGAATAAACAGATTTTCAGATCCCTCCGAAAATCCTGGGGTATGGTAATTGGAATCTGTCATCCAGTGCATTAGGCCACTCTCCCATTGCGTGTTGCTGTATTGTGAACTGTGTCTTTGCTCGGGTTGCTTCTTCTCATTAGGTCATTTCAGGGAGGACCCTTCTACCTTCTCTTTCACCTCCGAAACCAGTGTCTCCATCTCTTCTACCATTTCATTAATCCCTGGCTTGGGTTGAGAAGTGGGTCTTGCTGGCTTGAGTTGAGTGGATCTGGTGAGCCTGTGAAGGGTGGATTTGCGCCAGCAAGCCAGGGCTTGGCCAAAGCAAATTTGTGTGGCACTTCTGGGTTTGTCTGACCACATGACCTTCCAAGGTAGAGGTTTTTCTTGGAGAGGGAACGGATTTGAAACATTCAGGTCAGGAGCAGCGCAAGACCCCAGAAACAAAGCTTGGGCTTCAGGCAAGAAAGTCCTGAATCTCAGCTTACAAAAGTTGAATAAGGAGCATTGTATCTGAGCACATGTGAAGTGTTTTTCCTCGCACGCAGTCAGCTTCCTGAAAATGGGGAGCGCCAAGTTTTCAGGTTGCCATAGAAACCAGATTTCTCTTTGAGTGGTCCCTGGTGCTCTCTGAGCTTGTTTTCTTGCAGACGTTTCACTATTCAAACTAAGTAACACCATCAGTGCCAATAGAAAGCGCTCTTAATTTGTATTCTGGTGGCTTGCCCTGTCCTTGTTGATGGGAATGGTCTTGATGATTCTTTAATTGGGCTGTTTACTGTTAGTTTGTTTGGCAGCCCCTTGATTGGGGTGTTGTTTGCTTTTTGATTGTAGCCTGATGGTGTCAATCTATGCTCATCTGGGTGTTAATAGCTGTGGGGGAGGTATTTTGGTCTTTTTGTTCCCTTTACGGCTTGTTGATTTCTCTTTGTGAGAAGCCATGGGGCTGAGTTTGGTGTCTGGAAATATGGTGACTGAAAAGAATAGTTGTGTAGGCACACACATTGTTACCCCTCACATCTCATTCTGGTGTCATGTTTTGATATTCAGCCTTTCACTTCTCTCTCTCTAGTGGCAATGCAAAAGACCACTGCTACTTTGAGGAATTTAGTGACACACGTTTTGATTTCTACTTCACATTGAGAACATTCTAGAACTTTAGAGATCATTCTGAGTTAACCCGCTTGTTTTTCTCCCTTGCTGACCGAATGAAGGAGAAAGTGTGGAGGGGAATTTTCATGTTGTTTCAAAGCTTTTCCTGCTATGAAAGTCTCAGGTCTTTGATTCCCATCCTGGAGACATGTATCAGCCAGTCCATGTCTGGTCTTGTGGTCTCTTCACCATAGTAGGCAAGTCATAGTGCCAGGGCTTGCTGTTGTCCCGGAGAGCTTCTACATAGAACCTAGCACTAGGTACTGTGGAAATTGGCCACTTTCAGGGTACCATTGCTGACCTTATTAAATAATAATAAAGCTTAAATCCCTTCACAGGTAGTCCTCAACTTATAATCATTTATCTATTGATCGTTCAAAGTTAAAATGGTACTGAAAAAAGTGAGTTATGACTATTTTTCACATTTGTGATGACTGCAGAACCCCTGTGGTCATGTGATCAAAATTCGGATGCTTGGCAACTGGCATGTATTTGTGATGGTTGCAGTATCCCAGGGTCACGTGATAACTTTTGCAACTTTCTGAAAGTAAATGGGGAAGCCA